ACCCGCATAAAGCGAAAGAATTATTATCGAAAAGTGGAGTGTCATTGTAGGATGTGGTTATAAAAGCTGTTGAGTTTCGAAGGCAATAGTCCAGATATACATCGTTGAATATTGGGTGGGACATGTTGCAGCAAATAAGCCTAAATCATAGTCAAATCTAAGCAATTGCTTAATTACCCAAAGTGGTTAACTTACCCCGTTTCACAGTGATATTTTGCGCTCCAATTTAGGAACTTTTCCGGCCAAAAAGGCTCAGAATGATTGATAAATGGAAAGGCTCTATAGGTAGACAGTTCATTTGCAAGGTTACGAACATCATTGGGGGTGGATAGGGAAAAGGCTGGATTGGATCTGGAATTTATAAAGATTTAAAGGAATTTTTAAGTTCTATGTCGATAAAACTCACTCTAAAGGAGTAACTGTGTCATGTCTGAACATTGCCGTCGAATTCGCTGTTTTCACACCCCAAACTAGTCGTACATAAAGTGGAATAGCAATTTTCTCTTCAACAAAGAAGAACGTCTTTTCAGCATTGTTATCATACCTGGAAAAGCTCAGGATAGATAGCAATTATCCCTCAAATTACCCCTAAGTCTAGCAGGTAGAAGAGTCTCTTATCAGCGCGTCCACCTTTTAAAGGTAGTATGTTGCGCTGATTAGACACACACTACAGTACCATTCGTGTGGATTTGACGCGATGAACACCTGCAACGGATTGTACTCGGGTAGGTGAAGATCTCTGACTGCGACCACGACAGCTGCTACCACAACGATACACAACGAAATCATCCACACAAAGCGGCCCTTTAGTAAGTAATACAGAATCAAAGATAGTTACTCATGAAAATTCAAAGTGTTTACCTGTATTACTACCCAAGGAAGAACTTCTTTGAAGCTTTTTGTGAAGAAGTCCCCTATGCTAGGTAACGAAGGAATACATGTGCAAAACCTGAAGAAAAAGGGAAATAGTTACTCCAAATTTCTTTCTTATTTGTACATTTGTTCATTGGAACCAATTTAATGGGATTGAAAAATTGTTCATAACTTTTTTAATTCTGAAACTATATTCCTCATACATGCGGTTTCTTGGAAACGGGTTAAAAGCGTATTCATTTTTTAATATATTAGCTCGTTCCTGCTCGAGAGGAGGGGTTGCTTTCTA